TGCCAGCTACCTGCCAGCTACCTGCCAAAGACCAGTATCTGGGAATGTTAAGCCCTCCCACTATTTTCCAAGAGGGCGTTGCCAGATTTTCAATTTCAGGATTTAACCAGGAGATGGCGCTTCATTCACAAAAACAGGAAGAGAACTTTCAGTTTTGTTTAGAAGAGCTTTTGAACACATCAATATTTTAGATCAAATAAAGTATATCTAATCTTGTAATTCAATAATATATAGTCTTTATATATTAAATAACTATGGCCAAACTAAGACTTAGTTTTTCAAAAGAGAAAATGCAGATATTATATAAAAAACTAAAGTTAAAATCTTGTTTTTAATGCCCCAAGAGCAATAAAAACACTTGGTAATAAAATCCTGAGTGAGGCTTTCATAAATTGAAAGCTTTTATCCAAAGCGACTTACTATTTAATAAATTATAAATGATTATTCATAACAAATATGAGTGATGTGTGATTATTATTGTGAGATTTATGGATACCGCTGGAAAAAGCTGCAGTACATATGCCGAGCCTGTACGTAGCGCTGTAACTTCCTCCACAAAAGCAGCCTTCTGTTTATTCAACGTGGTGGGGGCCGAGGGAACCGGGCAGAGTTTTTCGCCGGTCAACATGTGTTAAAGTTTAAATCTTCCTTATTGAGCTTTAAAACTAATGAATAACGACTATATATAATAATAAAATACACGGAGCCTGGCCTCTCTTTGTCCTCCCTCTCTTCTGACAGCGTCAGTGTCTGTCTCATGCAGCAGCTGATCCAGTAATGAGTGACACATTTTGAGTTGTATACACTGTTGGAAAGAAGAGATTCCTAGCTTTCTAATGGTATCAGGATTGTTTTTGTACTCCAAATATTAAGCAAAATATGTCACATTATATAATGACTGTCACCGAGTCATCATTTTGAGAAAAAGGCCTTCAAAGTTTCCTCTTCTCTGGAATCCATCGATCTGATTGATTATTAGCGGAGCAAATGATCAAAATAGTCCGGAGGGAAAATATTTCCGTTTGGATTACTGGTCTGGGGGAAGCTCGCGAGTGTATGTGTTTGTGTATTTTTGCGTAAGTGTATATTGTGTTTATTTCTCACGAGAAACACCGGCTGTTGTTATGCCTGCTGTAACGTTAAATTACTCTGTTCTCCGCTTGTAATTATGCCGTTACAAGCTTCATAGTTGTATTTATCATCTGAATTTGCCGAAACAAGTTTAATATTCTGAAAGCCAAGACTTTGTTTATTTGAAATCAGATGAAAACAAACTGTAACGGACCCTGCCGTGTTATCTATGATTACTATATGCCTTACTGTACATTCATAATTTCAGCCAGAGGGAGGGGGGCGGCGCTGCGGAAGAGCAGATTGCGAGTGAGAGGTGCCTGTCATCTTCCCTTTACAAGCTTCACAAATGTATTTATCGTGTGATTTTGGAAATAAAAGTTTCATATTTTGAAAGCCAAGACTTTGTTTATTTAAAATGTATTATTTAAAACACCCGAACCCCGAAAAAATAGTTTTTTACGCAAATCCACGTTTATTTTGAAATGAGCTGTTGCGACTTCCGACTGATTTCAATAGAGCGGGTCACATATATTATATAGTGTATTGTATTATTAAGTAATATCATACATTAACCCCATTATAGCAGATGCCACATTGAATGGATGAACACATGTATGCATCAATAATTACAACAGAGTATTTCTAAATACAAGCTGTAAAAATACTTATATGTATTTAATACTAATAACATAATGATTAATTTCAGATGATAATACTTTTCAGTGTCTGTCTCATGCAGCAGCTGGACCTGTAATTTACAGGAAAGGAGTGCGCGCTACTAAAGAGCATAGACTGTATATATAAAGAGACGCGCTACCATGGAAAGCAAACAATGGTGTAGCTGTATTGAAGTCCGAATGGAAACAGTAGCATTTGGAGCGTTAGGTTTGAATGAAACAGCCAGGTCGTGACTCACACAAAAAAAGTGTTACTTCACTAACTGTAAGCTTGTCACTCAGAGTAACCTACAGTTAACTTAACTGCTGGAGAAGAAAGATCAGGGGGGGGGGGGGGAGAGAGCTGTGGTTGATGGGCCATTACAGCACAGCATTCAGACTGTTTAAAAAAACGGTAACAACGGACTATTTTTCTTAGCGAATGCATGTCAATTTAAATCAATACATACAACTATTTTTTAAATCAATAAAAACATTTTCTAAATCCATAAAAGCATTTCAATTAATATTGGGAGTCAGGTCGTTACTTTGTTGAGAATGTGGCCATGTAATAAGCGGGATCATTTGCAGCGACTTGGTCATTGTGGGGAAAAATAACACGCTACGCGTCGGGATCCTGATCTGCCTGACAAGGCTCCATTAAAATATAAATATTTTTAGTGAATTACTGAGTTTAGGCACGTTAATAACGTTTTAATGAAGTTGAATACAGAATATTCATATTTGTCAGTGATTTCATGTCAATTCGGCGAACATAAACATAAATGATCGTGGTGAAGATGATTAAATTAGGATTAAAAATCGAGAGCCGGCTGCACTTCCTCTTGTTCGTTTTTTTCGACTAAACAACATTATTTTGTTAAATAACAACATGGTGATGTTTTGTAAATAATTACATGTCTTATTTAGCACAGACTATGATCCTATCCGTGACATATGGATCTTAACAAAGATCCGCTATACAGTAGTACCAGACATACTGTACATCCAGCTTACTGTATCGAAGTTGATTTCACATGAGCTCCAGTGTGGAACCCCACTGCACCCCCTGTTGGATCAATGATCCATTGCAGCTGGCTTCACAATAATTAAATTGATTTATCACGGGGGCGGTCTCATGTCAGACTGGGGGCAGGCTCTTCATCACTGGCCTTTCACGGGCAGTTCACGGGCAGTTCACGGGCCGACCAAGACCCTCGCGTTTCAAACTGTCCTAAATAAGCTGCTACATCTGTATTTTGGCACCACAGGGCCAGCTGGTTCACTTCCTTCCTGTACGAGGGAACAACAGCCTGGCTCAGGGAGATGTTAAAAATGTTTGTGAGGACATCTGTGAGTTCTTCTGCGCAGTCCCTCAGCACACGACCAGGAATGTTGTCAGGTCCTGCAGCCTTGCGGGGGTTAATCCTCAGCAGTGTGCTCCTCACACTGGCTGGTGAAAGACGCAAAGCCTGGTCGTCGGTGGGGGGGGGTGGTTTTCTGCGCAGGTGTGTTGTTCTGTGCTTCAAAGCGTGCAAAGAAGCCGTTGAGGTTGTTGAGCAGGGAGGTATTACTGTCACAGGTCTGTGGCGGTAGTTTGTAGTCCGTTAGGGTCCTTATGCCCTGCCACAGGCTCTGTGAGTCCCTGCTATCCTTGAAATGTCCTGTAATTTCTTGGGTGTATTCTTGTTTTGCTTTCCTGATGCCACCGGACAGGTCAGCCCTGGCTGCTTTCAGCCCAGCTGGATCTCCAGCTCTGAAGGCGATGTTGCGGGCCTTCAGCAGCGTGTGGACCTCCCCTGTCAGCCATGGCTTCTGGTTAGCCCGGGTGGTGATGGCTCTGTTTTGTGTCACATCGTCAATGCATTTGGTGATGTAGCCCGTGACTGTCTCTGTGTATTCTTGTATGTTGGTGTGATGGTTGTATGTGGCTGCCTGCTTGAACATGTCCCAGTCTGTAGTGTCAAAGCAATCTCTGAGTGCAGCTGTGCTGTCCTCTGACCACACCCGAACCTGTTTTGAAACCGGTGTGGTGGCTTTTACCCTGGGTCTGTAGTAGAGATGGGCGAGTCCTGATTCATCCGGATCATTAACCCGGATCCTAGAAATGAGCTGGTCGTGACGAGTCTCCCCTCTCCATTAACCCGAGTCCTTTGAGTCCCACACTTGGTGTGACGTACAAATTAAAACTATAAATTGCGTCACTCGCTACTCTATAACATGTAAAATCACATTACAACGTACCCCAGTCCATCTACCTACCCTTTAGCAAGTATACAGGATAGCTGCCTGCCAGAAGTGATCGTTTGGCTCAGGGGAGGGGACGCGGATCAGTGAAACTTCCTGCAGACTCGTGGGGACTCAGAGGAGCCGACGGCTCCTAACCGTAATAGCATAGCAGATCCAGAGATCCATACTCGTCATGTGCACGACCATAGCCCCTCCTCCAGCACCCGGCTCCCGCGGCTATGCACGAGTCAACAGCAGACTCGCAGATTCGCAAATCCTGACTCACTGTGCAAAACATAGCAGACTCGTGCGGACTCAGAGCCGTAACCATATAGCAGCAGATACAGAGATCCAGCAGACTCGTCGTCATGCACGAGTCAACAGCAGACTCAGATTCGCAAATCCTGACTCACTGTGCAACACACAGCAGAGCAGACTCGTGCGGACTCAGAGCCGTAGCCATATAGCAGCAGATCCAGAGATCCAGCAGACTCGTCCTCATGCACGAGTCAACAGCAGACTCAGATTTGCCAAATCGCAAAATAACCCTTTTTTTTGTGATCAACATTTTTTATTAAAGCAAAATACACTGTGTAGCGGAGGTTAATATAACGTCAGTTTAATATGCTCGTGAAATGCAACAACTTTTCGGTTTCACCGATAGGATTTCTACGGTCTTGGTGATGCTGACTCATATGACTCAAATGACTCTGTGGCAGCGGGGTGTGGTTAGGGCGCCGGCTGCTGGTGTGAAGGGAGTGGCTCGGCCGGAGGCCAGACAGCTGATCGGAATCAGGTAATCAATCACTGAATAAAAGCATGTGGTAACCTGGTTCTGGTCTGTCTTGCAGTAGGCAGGATCCTGGGAGGTCGCCGAAGGACCTGTGGAGGAGCCCACACGGGCAACGTTTTGCAACCCGTGTTGTACACTTTGTGTTGGTGCTAATAAACGCCTGTGTTAAACCCAAACCCTGCTCTTTCCGTCACTCTTTGAACCCTGTGTGAGCAGAGAGGCTCACAGTGGCGCCTGAACAGGGACTCATGTCGGAAGGAGAAACCCCGCTGGGTCAGGCCCTCCAACGTCTTGCCCACATGCAGGAGACCACCACAGCCTTGCAGCGACAGCAGAGCGAGGCTTTGCTCGGGATCGCCTCGAGCCAGCGCGAGGACCGGGCCCTCCTACGGGAGCTGCTGCAGCGTCCGGCCGCCCGGGAGGCCGATCCCGCGACCAACCCGGCCCGACCGCCTTCGATTGCCCTCCAGAAATTGACGGCAGACGACGATCCGGAGGCATACCTGGACATCTTTGAGGGCACAGCGGCGGCGTGCGGGTGGCCGGAGGAGGAGTGGGCAGCGCGGCTATTGCCCCTGCTATCTGGGGGTGCGCAGTTAGCCGCCCACAGCCTGCCCGCAGCCTCTCGGCATGTGTACCGATATCTGAGGAAGGCCATCCTGGACCGGCTTGGCAGCACGCCAGAGGGACATCGCCGCCGGTTCCGGGCACTCCCCTTCGAGGACGCTGACCGGCCCTTCTCATAGCGCAACAGTTTCTGGATGCAGCGAGCCGCTGGCTCCAGCCGGGGGTGCGCTCGGCGGAGGAAGTCGTCGGGCAGGTGGCGCTGGAGCAGTTAATCGCCGGCCTGCCATCTTCAACGGCGAATTGGGTCCAGTGCCATCGCCCCGCCAACCTGGAAGCAGCCGTCGTCCTCGCGGAGGACCACCTCTCGCTTCCCCGGCGGAGCGTGAAAGAGGAGCCCCGACCACCGGCTGTCTCAGCGGGCAGACCCATCCCAGCCCCGAGGAGGAGATTTCCTGGAGCAGCTGCCCTTCCTCCACCACCACCACACGGGCCCAACCCCGCAGCCCCGACACTTCACCCCCAAGCCCTACCTTACCCTCCTGTTTTTATCTCTCCCCAGGGTCCGGCCTACGCTTCTGGTCGTCCGGCACCACGGGGGGCTCCTCAGACGCCAGGGCTGGATTGCTGGCGGTGCGGGCAGCCCGGCCACTTCCGACGGGAGTGTCCTCTCATGGAGGTCGGACAGCTGGTCCGGGTTGCGGGACCGCCAGTTGCCTCCCCCGATTTGGAAGGGACGTACCGTATACCGGTATGTATACAGGGGGGTACACACCAGGCTCTGATGGACACGGGCTGTAATCAGACGATGATCCATCAGCGCTTGGTTCGGCCTGGGGCATTGATTGAAGCATCGTGGGTGAAGGTGAGGTGTGTGCATGGGGATATTCACCAGTACCCGGAGGTGACGCTGGAAATTTCTTATAAGGGAAAAAAGCATAGAGTCAGGGCTGGAGTTAGCCCTCGCCTTACGCACCCTCTGATTTTGGGAACGAATTGGCCGGGGTTTGCTAAGCTAGCGGGGGCTATGGGGGTGCGTTCACGGACGGCAGGGAAATGTGAGTTGTGTGCTGTGTTTAGTGGAGAGTCGGAGGCGGCTGACGACGTCGAGGGGGAAACGGACACGGAGGGGGCCGCGGAGGTCCCTCTGGCCCCGCTGGTGTTTCCTTTGGAGGATTTCCCCCTCGAACAGTCGAGGGACGAGACCCTTCAGCACGCCTTCGACCAGGTGGTGAGTATTGATGGCTCCCAGCTACACCCAAACGTAGCACTCACTCACCCACACTTTACGGTGGTTAGGGACAGGCTGTATCGTGTGAGCCGTGACACACAGACAGGAGATATAAATACCCAGTTGTTGGTGCCAAAAAGCCGTCGGGAAATGGTTTTCCAGGCGGCTCATTATAACCCCATGTCAGGTCACCTAGGGTACGACAAATCACTACACCGGATAATGGCCCGATTTTATTGGCCGGGCATTCGCGCAGATGTGAAGCGGTGGTGTGCATCTTGCCGTGAATGTCAGCTGGTTAACCCGCCGGCCACCCCCAGGGCGCCTTTGCGCCCGTTACCATTGATTGAGGTGCCTTTTGAGAGAGTTGGTATGGACCTCATCGGGCCATTAGACCGGAGTGCACGGGGATATCGCTTTGTACTGGTCCTAGTGGATTATGCCACGCGATATCCCGAGGCAGTGCCGCTGCGTAATATCTCTGCAAAGAGCGTCGCACAGGCACTGTTTCACATTATCTCCCGAGTCGGGATCCCGAAAGAGATCCTGACTGACCAGGGCACACAGTTTATGTCACGCACACTACGCGAGCTGTATGAACTATTGGGCGTCCATTCAATACGGACTAGTGTTTACCATCCTCAGACCGACGGCCTGGTGGAACGGTTTAATAAAACACTAAAGAACATGGTTCGTAAGTTCGTTCACGAAGATAGTCGTAATTGGGATAAATGGCTAGATCCTCTGTTGTTTGCAGTGCGGGAGGTGCCCCAGTCCTCCACGGGATTTTCTCCCTTTGAGCTCTTATTTGGCAGGAAGCCCCGGGGTGTTTTGGACCTAGTTAAGGAAAACTGGGAGGAGGGTCCAAGCACCAGTAAAACGAAATACAGTACGTTATGGACCTGCGAGCAAAACTCCACTCACTGGGGCAGATATCACGGGAGAATTTGCTCCAGGCTCAGGAACGTCAGCAGCGCCTGTACAACAGAGGGTCGAAACTGAGACAATTTTCACCGGGAGATAAAGTGTTTGTATTACTCCCATCCTCTAGCTCTAAACTACTCGCCAAGTGGCAAGGACCCTTCGTGGTCACACGACGAGTGGGGGACGTAGATTATGAGGTGGTGCGTTCTGACAGGGGGGGAGCAACACAGATTTACCACCTTAACCTCCTGAAAGCATGGAGGGAGGTGGCGTCTGTTTCTCTGGTCACCACGGTGATTGAGAGAGATGAGTTGGGACCGGAGGTCATTAAAAGCATGGCCGTTCGTTCACGGCCCTATCGGCTGCCTGAACACAAGAGGACAATTGTTCAGGCGGAGCTTCAGGCTATGCTAGAGATGGGAGTGATAGAAGAGTCCACCAGTGACTGGTGTTGCCCCGTCGTGCTGGTACGTAAGTCCGACGGGTCAATCCGGTTCTGTGTGGACTACCGCAGGGTGAACGAGGTGTCCAAATTCGATGCTTATCCAATGCCCCGGGTCGACGAACTCCTGGATCGGCTAGGCACTGCTCGCTTTTACACGACGCTGGATTTAACCAAGGGCTATTGGCAGATTCCCCTTTCTCCAGAGTCTAAGGAAAAAACGGCCTTCTCCACTCCGTATGGCTTATACCAATTTGTCACACTTCCTTTCGGGTTGTTCGGAGCTCCAGCCACTTTCCAGCGGCTCATGGACCGGGTGCTGCGTCCCCACTCTGCATATGCTGCTGCTTACTTGGATGATGTCATCATTCACAGTGAGACATGGGAGCAGCATATGCAGCAGGTGGGGGCAGTGCTCGAGTCCCTGAGGCAGGCGGGGCTCACGGCCAACCCGAAGAAGTGTGCGGTTGGACGGAGGGAGGTACGGTATCTGGGGTACCACTTGGGCGGCGGGCAGGTGCGGCCACAGATAGAGAAAACAACCGCCATTTCAGCCTGTCTGGCGCCCAAGACGAAAAAAGAGGTCAGGAGGTTCATGGGGCTGGCCGGCTACTACAGGCGGTTCATCCCGTCCTTTTCGGAGCTGACCAGTCCCCTGACCGACCTGACCCGAAAGGGTGCTTCAGATCCGGTCCAGTGGACGGAGCGGTGTCAGCTGGCGTTTGAGAGGGTTAAAAAAGCCCTCTGTGGTAAGCCGCTTCTGTATTCTCCTGACTTCTCTCTCCCTTTTGTGTTGCAGACCGACGCCTCGAACAGTGGGGTGGGGGCCGTTTTGTCCCAGCAGGTGGAGGGGGTCGACCGCCCCGTACTGTACATTAGCCGTAAGCTCGCCCAAAGGGAGGTGAACTACAGTACGGTGGAAAAGGAGTGCCTCGCCATACGGTGGGCGGTCGGCGCCCTGCGGTACTACCTCCTGGGGCGCCCTTTCACCCTCTGGTCGGACCATGCCCCGCTCCAGTGGCTCCACCGCATGAAGGATGCCAACGCCCGGATCACTCGGTGGTATCTGGCGCTACAGCCTTTCAACTTCAAGGTGATCCACAGGCCGGGTAACCAGATGGTCGTGGCTGATTTCCTCTCTCGCTCGGCGGAGGGGGGGGGGGAGTCAGCTTGCGGCCGGCGGGATCCCGGCCTGAGTCGGGCGGTGGGGGTATGTGGCAGCGGGGTGTGGTTAGGGCGCCGGCTGCTGGTGTGAAGGGAGTGGCTCGGCCGGAGGCCAGACAGCTGATCGGAATCAGGTAATCAATCACTGAATAAAAGCATGTGGTAACCTGGTTCTGGTCTGTCTTGCAGTAGGCAGGATCCTGGGAGGTCGCCGAAGGACCTGTGGAGGAGCCCACACGGGCAACGTTTTGCAACCCGTGTTGTACACTTTGTGTTGGTGCTAATAAACGCCTGTGTTAAACCCAAACCCTGCTCTTTCCGTCACTCTTTGAACCCTGTGTGAGCAGAGAGGCTCACAGACTCGTATGATCCGGATCTCTTCAATGACTGACTCAGAAGACCCTGAATCCGTAAAAGGATCCGGATTTGCCATCTCTAGTCTGTAGGCCGGTTCCAGCAGAACAGTGAGGTGGTCAGAGAGGCCGATGTGGGGGAGGGGGGATGCCTTGTATGCTCCCTTGATGTTGGTATAGACCAGGTCTAATGTGTTTTTCCCCCTGGTTGGAAAATCAACATGCTGATATATTTTAGGCAGCACAGTTTTTAAGTTAGCGTGGTTGAAGTCTCCAGCTACGATGAGTAGGCCGTCTGGGTGTGCTGTCTGTTGCTCACTGACGGCTCGGTACAGTTCACTGAGTGCCTCCTCTCTCCCCTCTTTGCTGGGGTTTGGGGGGAGATATACAGCTGCCACAAGAATCGCTGTAAACTCCCTCGGCAGGTAAAAAGGACGGCACTTTAGAACCATAAACTCCACCAGTGGCGAACAGTGTTTGCTCACAACAACAGTGTCTCGACACCAAGCGTCACTGATGTACACACACACACCGCCGCCCCGAGTCTTCGTCCCCCCGCTATCTTTGTTCCTGTCGGCTCGGTAGCATGTTAGCTTGTCTAGCTGAATAGCGGAGTCCGGGATGTTCTTGTGAAGCCATGTTTCCGTGAACACGTAAACACAGCAGTCCCTCACCTTACGCTGGGTTGATCGTAGTAGACGTACGTTGTCCATCTTGTTGTCCAGTGAACGGACATTTGCCATAAGTAGTGTTGGAATTGCCGGCTTGTGTGGGCTAGCCGCTAGCCTAGCCCGGATACCTCCACATTTCCCCCTCTTCTGTCTCCTCTCACGCCTTCGGAGTCTCCTTTCCGGGTGGGGCTCGACACGAGACGGGTAGCAGAGGAGCTCCAGGCAGCTGAGTTCCTCGGCGAGTTTAGCTTCCAAATTGAAGAAAGTAGAAACTCACGGCTGTATTGTTGTCCTTTACGATATAAGTCCAACGGACATGACGAACAAAGTGACAAACTCGACAGACGTGACGAACAAGACGAAAACACTGTTTTTTCCAGACCGCGAGGGGCCGCTGCGACTGCTCGTGCCGCCATCTAGTGCTTAATTCTTGTGTTTTGTTTTGGTAAAAATGGTTCGTATCTTCAGTTAGCTGAGATTCTTCCCGTTAATCTGGTGCTACACATTAATAGGTTTCATAAATGTTAAGAAGCCCTGAGACACAGTCTCGAAAAAAAACGTTGGGGGGGGGGCCCCCCTTAAGAGGATAAGGAATTGATTAGGAATACTTATATAAACATAAGAAGTAAGCAATAATTAAAGTTAAACAAAATATGTATACAAACATAAGAATGTAAAAAAATCTTTTTGATTAATAGTATAAGGAAAATAAAAAGAATCAAGATATTAATATAGCGGAAGGATTAAAAACTATTTTTAAATAGATGTTAAGAAAATCTTATGCATTCATAAGTGTATAATTGTACTATCAGTAGTATTTTTTACTGACTTTTTGATCGATCAATGCTAGACTATTTTAAGATTGTATTACCAAAATTCATTGTAAAATGTTCCTAAAATCGTCATTACACTTGTTGACGATCACTATATTCTCACGCAAGAAATGAATCAAGACATTTCAAATTCAGGAAAGTGACCCTCAGACAGGCGTAGGTGAACAGAACATGGTGTGTCTACTTTTAAATTGTTTTACACACGGCTGGATTAAAAGATAAGCAAACCAGGACAACGCCCTGCAGCCTCAGATCCCCTGGGGCCCATAAAGCACCAGGTTTGTGTCAGTTGTTTTTTGGAAACTTGACTAATTGGAAAAATGTACACTGCAACATCATCTTTGTCCTGCATATCACGTTATTTCCTTGTGTAACAAAATCATATTAAAAAAACATTCCGATTATACTCTTTGCAAGTCCATTTACAATCTAAATGTGTTCATATATTTTTTAAATAGGCAGAGTTTAATAATGTAATGTCTTCTTTTTCATGTATTTTTGTACAGTGTGCCAGGACCTCGACACAAACTTATGAACCCAAATGCACGACCCAGAGACAAAGTCTTGAATATAAAAAAAGGTATATTTATTTATACAGTTCAGGTAATCCCTCTTAACAGAGTAGGTGGTGGAAATAACAAAAGGCACTCACAAGGAGGAAAAAACTAGCGTAACAAAAAGAGGACTTAATAAAAACTTAAAGGTAGGGTAGGTAAGTTTGAGAAACCGGCTCGAGATACACTTTTTGTTATATTCCATGGAATGCTCTTAACATCCCAATAGCAATGAATATCTTAAGTGCTTTGACAAAAAATTCATAAAAAAAATGTCATCTGTGGAAGCCGTAGTACTGTAAAAAGCACGACCAATCATTTTAGCCGGCCCGGCTAAAATAACTGGATGGCCTACCTGCCTGTCAGCCTTCCATCTGTGCACAAACTTATCTCGTGCCCTCATTGGTCATGTGCGCGTTCGTGTGTGTTGGAGGAGGGGCTCTATAAGGAAGTGGCAGATTTTCTCCGGTTGTGTATTTTCAAATTCTAGCGATCTCGAGCCGGTTTCTCAAACTTACCTACCCTACCTTTAAGCCTAACAAAATAAACAAACATAACAAAACCTGACATGAGAGAAAGCAATCCTTTCTGAGCTGAGGCTTGGCACGACCATTCGAGGAAACAAACAAGACGAACTGACACAGGACTAGAGATGGGCGAGTCCTGATTCATCCGGATCATTAACCCGGATCCTAGAAAGGAGCTGGTCATGACGAGTCTCCCCTCTCCATTAACCCGAGTCCTTGAGTCCCACACTTGGTGTGACGTACAAATTAAAACTATAAATTGCGTCACTCGCTACTCTCTTTATAACATGTAAAATCACATTACAACGTACCCCAAGTCCATCTACCTACCCTTTAGCAAGTATACAGTCACAGGATAGCTGCCAGAAGTGATCGTTTGGCTCAGGGGAGGGGACGCGGATCAGTGAAACTTCCTGCAGACTCGTGGGGACTCAGAGGAGCCGACGGCTCCAACAGCAGACTCGCAGATTCGCAGATTCGCAAATCCTGACTCGCTGCAACACACAGCGGATCAGACTCGTGCGAACTCGGAGCCGTAACCGTATAGCAGCAGATCCAGAGATCCAGCAGACTCGTCGTCATGCACGAGTCCACACAGCAGACTCGGATTCGCAGATTCGCAAATCCTGACTCGCTGCAACACACAGCGGATCAGACTCGTGCGGACTCGGAGCCGTAACCATATAGCAGCAGATCCAGAGATCCAGCAGACTCGTCCGTCATGCACGAGTCCACAGCAGACTCGGATTCGCAAATCCTGACTCACTGTGTGTGCAACACACAGCAGTGCGGACTCGCAGACTCAGATTTGCCAAATCGCAAAATAACCCTTTTTTTTGTGATCAACATTTTTTATTAAAGCAAATACACTGTGTAGCGGAGGTTAATATAACGTCAGTTTAATAGATAGATAGATAGTACTTTATTGATCCCAAATTGGGAAATTGTTGTTGTTACAGCAGCATAAGGCATTTTACAATAAAACAAAACTACAAAATATGCAAGAATAGAAATAAAAATAAAATAAAATATAAAATATACATGTCGAAATAGAAAATATACATGCAGATATTATATATATATATATATATATATATATATATATATGTATATTCAAAATATATGGAATAATAATATGCTCGTGAAATGCAACAACTTTTCGGTTTCACCAATAGGATTTCTACGGTCTTGGTCATGCTGACTCATATGACTCAAATGACTCGTATGATCCGGATCTCTTCAATGACTGACTCAGAAGACCCTGAGTCCGTAAAATGATCCGGATTTGCCATCTCTACACAGGACAGGGGAGAGACAACACTATTTAAACATGAGGTGAGTGGGCACAGGTGGAAACAATCAGGGGCGGGGCAGACACTGATGATGGCGGGAAAAACACACAGGGGGAGGAAGAAAACAGGGCCTGAAATGAAAGACAAGAGGGAAATACAAAATAAAACAGGAAATGACAGACAAAATACATAAACATAACTAACACATTTGACGAGGCACAACACAGTATTTACTTATTCATGCATTTTACTTGCACTTGTTTATGTTATTTAAATTTCTTCTTTCACCTTTTTTTAATTTATTTTGTCGTTTATGCCTTAGGTTTATTGTATGTTGCATTGTTGAAGGAGCATGGGACTTCAGATTTTCATTACCAAAACTATGGTGAAGCTATTGTGGATCTGTGAATCTTGAATCTTCAATAACCTGACATACAGAAATGTGGGTGTGTGAACAGTGAACAAAAGGCAATATGTATAATGCCATCCTGTCCAGACCAGATGAACTGAACCTGAGGTCTGAGAGCACATTCAAATCAGGATTAGTGAGACAGTTTGGTGCATGTGATCCATTGTAGTGACCCTCTGCTGTTTACTGTAGTCATAAACCTACAACCCAAGACAGTATATGTTGATGGGATTTCTTTATGAGTTGATAAGATAAGATAAGATGGTTTATCTTATGGGTGGAGGACACCTCTTCTTTTGTCAGATTTTCTTCAGATCAGGTGCTCAGGTAATAGAACCATATAGATTCCAATGTTCAAAACCGTTTGTAAACAGATCACAGAGAAAAGGTTAAAAAGGCAGGCATGTTCAGGCAGATAACCAGAAGTGTGGTGCAGTGTGTGAGTCCTCTGTAATGCTGCTGATCTGCCTCGCTGTGCTCGGCCTCACCGGCAGCTCTCTGTCTGCTGCTATACCACCACCAGACGCTACAGGATCCAGAAACAAGCTGCTGCTCGTCTCCTTCGATGGTTTCCGCTGGGACTATGACCAAGACGTGGACACCCCGAACCTGGATAAGATGGCCTGGGACGGGGTGAGGGCAGAATACGTCACCCCACCCTTCCTCACCATCACCAGCCCAGCACACTTCACCCTGCTTACAGGTATTCTGAAAATCATCTCAAACTATTAACCTTGTTGATTGGATGTTTAATTCACTTTTTTCAGAAGATATTAACAATCAAATATATGAGAGGGTAATGGATACACAACATCTTCGGTATCAAAATGAAATTGGCTGTTGTATCCCCCTCTAAATTTAAAAAACATCCACAGATTTAGATCATCAGGAAACTGCATGCATGCAGCCTGTGTTATTTTGTTTGTTAAATATTCACAAGAGTTATGGATACCCAACATCACCAGTACGAAAATAAAATTGGTCAGTTTACAACTTTTGTTTCTCCATAAAAGAATTCAGACAGGAATGCTGTTGTTTGCCACCTATATATTACAAAAAAATAGATTGAAGAGAGTTATGGTTCAGATCATGAGGAGACTGTGGCTGCGAGGGGGTGTGGTCGCTTTTGACCAGAAGGTGGTGGGTTTGATACCAGCCCGTTTAGTCAACAAGTCGACGTATCCTTGGTCAAGATACTGAACCCTGAGTTTCTTCCGATGGCCAACGGTGTTTGAATGTGTATGAATGTTAGCTTCCCTAGAGCAAGTGGCACTGCTCTGTATGAGTGAGGTGTGAATGGGTGAATGACTTGTATGTATGTAAAGCGCTATGAGGGGTCGAACAGACCTAATAAAGTGCTATTGAAGTGAAGTCCATATAGCCCTGCGTTGTAATATGAGATATGTTTTGAGTTAGTGTATAAGTTTGCTTACATTTTTGTAGAGCACCCCCTGGAGAAAAATGCACCAGCCGCCACTGGTACCATCATATAAATGAATAATCTATAATAGGATCTAAATGTTATTTTCCGTGGCTTGCTTCTCTTCATCTTGCTCTTTCATATGTATTTCCTCTTTCCAACAGGACGTTATGTTGAGAATCATGGAGTAATCCACAACATGTGGTTCAACACTAACACTCAGGAGAAGAAGCAGTACTACCAAACTCAGTTTGTTGATTCCTACTGGGACAACGGCAGCTTACCCATCTGGATAACAGCACAGAGACAGGTAATTCAGTTCCATCTCTTTTCTGCCTGCATATCTCAAAGGCTACTTGTCTTCCTGCTTTTTATATCTTCAGCTTCATGTGTCATTTTTTGAGGAGCTCCTTATTCTAGGTAACTGTGTTTTTTAATACTTCCAGGGTCTAAAAGCAGGTTCTCTGCATTTCCCTGGAACAGCAGCCACCTACAGAGGGGAGACTGTGGGGGTTAGTCAAGTGGAACCTTTTCTCTATGATCATTCAAATGAGACCGATTGGAGGCTGAACATTGACAAGGTGATTGGAGAATGGTTCCACCAACAGGATCTGGACTTTGTCTCCTTGTACTTCGGAGAACCAGATTTGATTGGGCACAAATATGGACCAAATTCTCCAGAACGCCGTGAGATGATCCAGCAAGTAGACCGTACAGTGGGCTACATCCGGGACAAAATCCAAGAACATGGCCTTACTGACCGGCTCAACATTATCATCACTGCCGACCACGGGATGACTACCGTTTTAAGAGGTGGAACCTTTGAGGAGATCACCCTCTCTAAGATCCCTGGATTCAGCTTCAAGGATGTCAAATTCCACCTGGTGGATTATGGTCCTGCTGGGATGCTGCTTCCTAAAGAGGGGATGCTGGAGAAGGTCTACCAGGCTCTGAAAGGAAGCCATCCTCACCTTCATGTGTACAAAAAGGAGGAGATGCCAGCTAGACTGCACTACGGTAACCATCCTCGGCTCTTGCCCATCATCCTCTTTGCTGATCCTGGATATGTAATCAATGGGGTAAGAGAGCTGAGAACCTATTCACTGTCACTATGCTGTCATTAGATAAGTCTTGCTCATTCAAAGGCCTACTTCCACATATTCTTACTATTTCAGATAGTAAGAATATAAAAATGTACCATATAATGTTCTTGTCTTTCTCCATACAGTTTTTCCCTGTGCAGTTCCACAAAGGAGAACATGGCTTTGACAATCAAGTGATGGACATGAAGCCTTTTTTCAGGGTGGTGGGACCTGATTTCAAGACAAACCTGGTGTTCCGGTCTTTTGAGACAGTTAATGTGTACCCACTGATGTGCCATCTACTGGGGATAAACCCAGAAGTCAATGATGGACACCTGGACAATACCAAAGACATGATGGTCCCCAACAAAAACAACAACAGTAAGAAACGTTGTGGTTTGACATTCTAGATATCAATTACTTTTTGGTTTATCTCACATTTTGCTTGTGAAACTGATCAGCATCTAACCATGATGGTCTCTTCCTCAAATCAAGGTATGTTGCTCTTAACTGACCCTACAAATTGGTGGCTTTGCTGCTGACTTGAGATGACAATAAGTTTCAAAACGTCTTTCTATGCAACACACACTGCGCAAGATGCACGATGGTGTCCCTTTTGGTGCAGACCGTCACGCCATCAAACATGTTTCTAACTGACTTTTCGTCACCCTAACAGTAATCATTTTGAAAGAACAGAGGCCACTGGTGTAATTCCCCCACTGGTGGGCCAAAAAAATAAAATTGTGTGTTTCTTTTAGCACCAACAAAACAACTAAACAGTGCTACATTTTTGAGATAGTCAATAGAAAACACTATACTATATCAGCTTGGAGTGTCAGGTTTATTGTGTTGCATGTATGAAGACATTACAAGACAATAATACAGGTATATACATGTTTTAATTACATGTAATGGAACAGCTCAGTTCAAGATGAGCAAGCTCTTATCCCAAAGAAACAATTTGGTGTACATCTGATTGTTAATAATAAGGGAAACAGTTTTTCTAGAAGATAAGAGGTGTTTTAAACATTATACCAGGTGTGTTACAATGTGTTACAGTTACTATGACAATGAAAGATTGATCCTGTAATACGGTTGGTCTCTGTTTCGTGTTTCTGCACTCATCATTGCAGTTCGTCTTCCATCCAATGCAACACTGGTACATATTTTATGAAGGCCATATAAAACCAACTGCATCCTTATCTCTGTTCTCTACTGACTCCAAAAAGTAGTTAACAGTCAGAATCTCTTTGTGATTTCTCTAACATGCACTTTGCTTTTCGTTTTTTGTACTCTCATCTTAGTGCAAGCTACAGAGAATCAGAACCTTAAATCAGATTATTTTATAAGCATGGAAGATAATAAAAAGGATTAAGGACTATCAGATCTCATATTTCACTTGTTGCAATTGTTTTATGGAATGTGCTGTTGGGTGTGCCAGTAAGTAGGCCTGGTAACTGGCTGGGAACTTGGGCTGGGTTTAAGTCCCCAAACGGACCAAGTACAGAGTGTGGACTAGTACTTTGAGCGGTGCCAGTTCACCACCTGGGCACTGCCGAGGTGCCCTTGAGCAGAGCAGCGGTCCCACACACTGCATATATGAACTGCACTTGGTGGCCATGGGTCAGGCAGGTCTTTAAAATATCTTGTAGGCATTATCTAAAAGTTTCACTGCACTTACAATTTTTATTTTACAAAGTAAGATGGAGTACATGCAGTACTGCATCACAGAAGCAGTATTACATCTATAGTAGAGATCAACATGAAAAAAGATGGCATCAATTTTAACTGTTGCCTAATTTCTCGAGAAAAACAAAAGACACATAATGACCTTAAGTAACATAAACTGATAAGGAACATATGATGGACTTTTGACTTGACCTGACACTGTAAATCATCACCAATCAGATTACGATAGCAGATAGAGCAGCTATGTACTGTACAACACAAGATAAGCTACAGATGAATAAGAGATCCTACTGTTCATCATGATAGCCCTTGGGTGACCATATTGACCGGGTCTTGGCATTATCACTCAGATGTAATGAAAATGCTTATTAGTAAATAAAAATGTTGTATTACATTATGGAAGACTTTTTTTTTTTTACATTACAAATCTTGAAAAACTGACCCTTTCTGACATTCATAGAACAAACACAAACAGAGAGGGATTTTATCCTCTCCGTTTGTGTTTGTTCTTAGAATGATCCTCCCCAGTGTTGATTGAATGAACTATGAGAGTGCTTATGTGACACTGAATGTATCTGTACACAACCACTGAAGGGTTAGGGCTAGGAAAATAACTTTTTGTAACAGGCCTGTTGGCACGGTTAGTAAAACTGCAATCAAGAACACACAGCTTGTGAAAGTGCCAAATCCAGATCAATAAATATGTGAAGAAGATAAGTAGGGAATATTCCAAATGGCACCAATCTCACGTTTTAGTGCAAACTGTCCCTCCTGGCCTTGAAACAAATGGGAACGTCAGCCACTTGGTCAACAAATTTGAACCTGCACATCGAGTGAAAGCATTTGACCGGTTTGAAATAAATAAAAAGAAGAAATTAAAGTGAACTAGTTTATGTATGGGGATAAGAACCACATTCAATTATTAGTTCAATTGTGAAACTATGACTGCGAACTTGTTCATTTTAATCTCTAATAACTGACCTTTGAGCTAGCTCTCCAAGTCTGCACTTGCACAACACCTTGTCTGTGTTTTAGTGTGTTTTTTCAAGATGGTTAACTTTTTTTAAAACAATATTTCTGCTCTCTGTCTCCACATCAAGAACTGAATGCCCTGTCTCAAGTGGTTGTCGGTTTATCTGCAGTGACCGTTTTTCTCGCACTGGTGTTCATAATGACCACTTCCTATGCTGGGTGTAAAAGGAATCGAGTAGAAAGGAGGTAACATGCTGTCATTATACTATGAAAATGCATTATAATTTACTTGTTGCCCTCTCCTGGCCAAGTCCCCCTCATTCCTTATAACGATGCAACTTGACAATGTGTATTCAACTTGTCAGGTTAATCATATTACAGATTAAACACTCTGTCCAGATCAATTTTACATCCTTTTCAGATTGCAGATATTCCTTATTCCGTGTTATCTCTCACTCCACCTCTCTGTGGTCTTTTCTTTCTTTCTCAGTTTCAACATGGAACATGCAGCTGGGTACATTGGGGAAGAAAAGACAGACATCAAGCAGAGCAGTTTTTAAAAATGAAGACTGATTTTTTTTTTCTTTTTTTTTCTAATATTCTTTCTTATTTAATCCACATCCTTCCATTAATGACAGATACAACATTCTGGTACAGAAGCACTTCTCTATCAAAGGTAATTGTCACTAAATATTACCATGTCCATGCATGGAGTGGATGACATGTACTTGATTTGATGGAAGAACTTTTTACAATTTTTTCATGAATGACAAAATATAGCAAATCTATCCCAAGACTGTCACTGTGTATATTTGAATGGAGATCACAATACAAATGCAGATTAGAAATATAGAGAAATGTTTTAAGTTTAGCCTTTTTGAGTGCTTTGCCGTCGACTTTCATTCATTGTGAATTCAGTATGATGGCATTATCCTTTTTTTCTCATCATCTTTGCCAAAAGCTACAGTTAACACCTTATATTAAAAATATAAATGTACATTTGTGTGGTTCTTATTTTATCCTTTTATTAATACAGTAAATTACCATCAAATTAAAATCCTATGATTGAATGATGATGATCCGAACCTATTCTCTGGTGATTGTGATAGCATTATTCTGCCTTGAGTATTGCAAAGACATGACCCTCCTGTCTTCTTCAAAATAGTATCCTTCCTTAATATTGACCTCATTATTACTCCATGTTTGTTTTTTATTAGTATACATGTTGTATTTTTACAAGGTGTTTTAGCCCGTTTTATTATGAAGTCATATAGTCTTGGTGTTTTTTCAAAAGACACCATATTATTACCGCTTTATCATAGAGCTGTAAATAGGAAGGAAGGTACATTCGGCTTGGTAGTAGTTTTCCTTACGTGACAAAAAGAAAGTACAGTTTAAAGTGGAAGCTGTCATAATCCCATTGTTTGGATTGGATTGGAGCCAATATTTGAACAAATATTTTCACATTAGTTGAATTCAGCTACAAACTCACAAATTAAAAGAACACTTGCTATACCAAATCATGTTTGTGTTTAATGCATATTTGTTCGAACTCTACTTAATAACAGAGAGACTAAGGACAGTGCCAAATATTGGAGGCATTAACTGTAATGCATTTGTGTACTGTATGTCTACTCTTTGGCTGTCTGTAATTGTGTTGGGTGTTGAAAAATACAAACATTGTTTCAATCGAAAACCTCTACCTTGGGAAACAGCAGTTTTAAAGAAGGAAGAAAAGGTTAAATTTAACTTGTAATGAATGTTGAATATAACATTTTAAAGATTCTAATAAATCAGTTTTATATTTGTTTCAAGTCAAAAAAGTAATAAATCCAATCATAAAAGGAACTTTACGGGAACAGCTTTTTTCGGTTTACGGTCAAAGTTTGAGAATTATTCTCAGATATCTGTTCTTCAAAGACAAACATTAACCCTGTTATATCACTGCACTTTGCTAATAAAGGTATAAAACATATCATTATAGGTTGATAAGGGCTGCAATCAATACCGCAAGCATTGATTAGAATGTGTCCCGGACATTTGTTTCAAGATAATTCAAGTCATATTTCAGTAAGACTAGACGGATGGATACATTATTCTGAGACTAAACTGACCCTGCTGAAGAGAGGTTACATCGAGTTGACCAGTGGATTTTCAGGTGAAAGTCCTCCGTCATGCTGCTGCTCTGCCTTGCTGTCCTCTGCCTTGGTGCTAGCTCTCCCTGTGCTGCTGCACCACACCAAGGCTCCACCAACCCCACCAGAAACAAGCTGCTGCTCATCTCCTTCGACGGCTTCCGCTGGGACTATGACAGGGATGTTGAAACCCCTAACTTGGATAAGATGGCCCAGGATGGGGCGAAGGCACTCTATGCTACTCCACCCTTTGTGACCATTACCAGCCCTTCTCACTTCACAATGCTGACAGGTAAAAGCAACAGTTTAATGTGTTATTGTTTTTAAACTGTAGTAAGTCTGCCAAGACGTATCAATAGACTCCAAGTGTGTATGTAAATGCATAACAACTAATGTCATGCACATATTCTGTCAACTCACTGACAGGAAACTGTTTTGAAAAAGATGTTCTCAATAGAGGTCTGTTAGATGTTGTATATTTGACCACTGTAAAAAAAAAAATTCATATCAGAGGAAGGTTTATCTTGAGTAATTAACAACTTGTTACCAAGTCTGGGATTGTTTTTCACAAACATGTATTAATTTTGCCGGCATTGGTCATAGATTTAACGGCTTCAGTCCAGGGTGTTTTTGAGATTTTTCCCCATATAACCAGAATTAGAACCAGAGTGACCTTAGCTCTAGCACTTCAGAAGCAACCCCCTTCATAACTTGTGTCTACAAGGTTTAACAGAATGAGGCAGAGAAAAGTGGTAATGCAGCAATCAAACAAAGGACCATGTATTGTTTTAACGGGGGTTATGTTATCCAAACTCAAACATTTTAAAGCACAAAACAAAGTCCACCTTAGCCGGAGCCTCCTACTCTCTGCCACTATTAACTCCTCAGTTGCCTTTTTCTACCTAGTTGTGGAGATCAGCTCCAGGTTTGTGGCTTTCCACACCTGCTCACAATGCTCTTAATTAGTGTAGGAGTGTAGCAATTCCATTTGCAACAGTCCCTGTAAATATATAAAACTCTCCATTCAAATGCAAACTTGTTCCGTTTTCTAGACTTAAAGTGGACCTATCATGCTATATTTGACAAATATATTGTAGGGCCATACCTATATAAAACATGTCTGTGAAGTTTTTTTTTCAAAATACCAAACAGATCATGCATTTTAGCCATGCCTCATTTCGCTCTATTCCAGCCCTGTTTTTGCAAGGGCTGATTCTGTGACGTAGCTTTAATGCAAATGAGCTGCAGCTGACCACGCCCCCCTGCAGGAGGGGAGCGTGCTCTGATCAGCTGCTGGGCTCTCAGAAGAGGGGGAGGAAAAGAGAGAGTCCGTGTTTTATTCTTATATGATTATATAGAGTCGTTATTCATTTGTTTTAAAGCTCAATAAATAACAAAGAAGACCTTTGACCGGCACTTTTCTAATTTTGTCCGGAAGATTTAAACTTTAACGGACATGTTGACCGGCAAAAAAAAATCTAACTGAAACTCTGCCACACGGTCCCCTCGTCCCTTGGAAGAGGTGGAGAGGTGGGTGTTTGTCATCTGCTGGTGGACTACCGGAGAGAATTACAGCGAGGGAGGGATTGCATTGAATTACAGCAGCAGGAGCAAACGCTTGCCTCGGGGAGGGAAAAAAAGAGCCAGAGTGTCCACAGCGGAGAATAAACAGAAGGGCAACTATGCGCGGGAAGTCTTCTTCGCTGCTTTTGTGGCAGACTACAGCGCCACTTACAGGCCTGGCATATGTACTACAGCGTCTCCAGCGCTTTCGAGCGGCAATGGCCGTGGCCCAACCCCACATTCCCCTGATAGGTGGAGAGTTGCCCATATAGGCGGAGCTCCCTGTTTCTGACGTCAGAACAATTTCAAATCTGTATCAGCTCCGTTGCAGCCCCGTTTTAGGAGATTTGGGTATGGAGGAAAAGAGAGAGGGTTGTGTTTTCTGACACTTGGTGAGTTCCCTGACACACCGGGGACACATATTCATGTATAAAAGACGCACAAAAGTGCATTTTGCATGATAGGTCCCCTTTAAGTAAAATTAAATATAACCATGAAGTTGTTAACATCGATATGACAATATTAAACGTCCATCTTGTTTTTTGATGATGTGTGCCTGCTGTGAGAAAAAACTAAACAATAGCCAACTACTATAAGCACATCTACTGTAGATACTTTTCCAATGAGCTCTTATGAGTTGTTTTACACAGGCTTTATGAACGTGGACCACATTGAGATATATTCTTCATGGTCAAGGTTAGAATTGAAATGAAAAAATGAAATTGAATCTTAATGGTTGCTTTGCACTCAACCTCTTGTCCACACGTATTAATCCACATGAGTCCAAATTTGTATGATGATTGTATGAAAATATTTGACCCAAATACCAAATATATGTAATATATGCAGAACTAGTTAGGAATACACATGTATCACTGTGTATATCACCAAGAAACCCCACACAACTCAGTAAACATTTAAATGTGGAAATGTGTTTCAAATCCCTTTTTGATTTAATATTACGTTTAACGATCAAAACTTTTGCACATTAAGGCAGATGTTGTTAAATTCTGAATAAGCACTGTAACTTACATGATCCGCGTTTCCCGGTCATGGTGGGTTGTTTTTGTTAATGAGGGAATGTTGTGTCACGGTAAATCTTGCGGCCGTAAAGTATTGTGGGACAGCATTTTCTCCTTTCCTTTCCAAAAAAATGGTCCAGTGTATCCTGAGCTAAAGGAGATTATGAATGAAAATTTCTAAAGTCCTTTCCTATCATCTAGAGCAGGATTCCTCATTGCGTGGCTCGCCAAGCTTAATTGTTTGCTCGCATGGCAGTAGGCTAAATAAAGGGGTGATAGTAGGGATGCTCCGATCGATCGGCCGCCGATCGTGTTCGGCCGATATTCACTCTCTGCCGATCGATCGGTGCTCTCTATAAAGGCCGATCAGGAGAGCCGATCACATGACGTAAAATACATGACACTTTTCTCTGTGCGCGACAAAACAAGTTACCAAAAATGGCTTCACCAGTCTGGCAGTATTTTAAGGTGTCCGAAAATGACAATAAAATAGCGGTATGCAACGTGTGTGAAGCAGAAATCCTGCAGCTCCACCCGCTGTGACGGACCGGTGAGCGGAGCAAAACACACACTAAGAGTTAGACCTAACACACTTAGCTATTTTATCTACCTCTGGAACAAGCTAAACTAGTTATAAATATATTTATTCTTCACTGTCGGGTCACTCATTACTGGATCAGTGAGCTGCATGAGACGGATACTGACAGGCTGTCAGGAGAGAGAGAAAGGGAGAGAGGAAAAGAGAGCGCTTCCGCTCATTTCTCCCGTGTTATTATCCAAAGTTAATGTAAACTTGAATAATGTACTTCATTTGAATGTAATAATTATGTTGGTTGTTGTTTGTGGAAGCGCCAGTGAATGAGCCCCATTAACTGAGTTTTAAACATCACTTTAAATGGAAGATCCCCATAGCCCCCACCCACTCGATCGGATCGGCCGATACTGATTCCGGCAATCGGCCCCAAAATTGGAGAATTTATTTTTATTTTTACTCAATTTATATCGCTAAATTGGAGCATTTCAATTGGAGGATACTACGACCAACCTGGCACTTTTTTACTCTCGCTAGCTTGGCTCTCCATTTCATGCTTAGCAAGTGTTTTTGGATAAAAAAAGTTTATCGATTTCTCATAAGAAAAGAACCGGGTGAACAGAAAGAAAGCGTGACAAGCGAGGGAAATGAGGATTTGGCTTTGGAGCATCCAACAACCGCAAATCAAGAGGAAGATGCTGGAGATGGGGTTTGTGGGCAGACATCAGGAGTTCCCGCTAAAAAAAGAAAGGTACGAGCCGTACAAGACGAGCATAGAACATTTCAGGAAAAGTGGACAGAGGATTTTTATTTGTCCTCCACAAGTCGAACCCTTTGTGCTTAATATGCAAACAAACCCGCACTGGTTTCAAGCGAAGTCATTTGGAGTGGCATTTCCAAACTACGCATCCAAAATTTAATGAAACTTACGCTCCTGGAAGTGAAATTAGGAGAAAAGAAAATAGAGCAGCTTTCTTCTCATCTTTCTGGACAACAAAGGCTCATACACAGGACAACTAATACAGCTGAACGACTAACTGAGGCATCTTTTGAGATCTCATGGATTGTAGGTCCGTCACTTCCGTTTAGCTTCTCATGCACTGATTCGCTAAGCTGAACAGCCAATCAGAGTGATTTTTTTGGCCGACGGCCTCCGGATTCAACATGTCGAATCGGCGGCGGAAGGTGTTGGCACGGCCGAAAAGACACGACGGTGCAGTACACACCAATCTGAGTAGGGCGACACGACGCTCATCGACATCTATCTACGCCGAAAATCGGCTCGGTGTGTAAGGACCTTAACATGCGAGGAAAAGAGAAGGGACTTGTTGGGCTCATGAAAAAAAAGAGAAGAAATCCCCAACTTTATCAGTTTCCACTGCATCATACATCAGGAGTCACTAGTATCAAAACTCCGAAATAATACATTCAAAAACGTGATGCAGACAGTTGTCCGTGTGGTAAATGTTATCGTCTCCAGAGGGCACAGGCAGTTCCGACAGTTCATTGAGGAATGAGGACTATGACACAGAGTATGGTGATTTAGTGATGCACAGTGAGGTGAGATGGTTGTCCCAAGGAAAAAAGCTTGAACGGTTTCTGAGCCTCCTCCCTGAGATTCATACTTTCCTGGACAACAAAGGAAAAAAGGAGTCAAGAGCTGGAAGGCCCAAACTGGATCACATAGCTGCCTTTCTGACTGACATCACCTGTCACCTAAACACTCTTAACTTGAAACATCAAGGAAGAGATAAGCTTCCAAGCAACATGCTGAATACAATCAGAGAATATAAAATAACTGTCCTGTATACAGGGGCGGATCTAGAAAAATATTCATGGGGTGGCAAGAGGGTGGCAGGAGAATTTCAGGGGTGGCATCCCCTGGCAATTCATGTTAACTTGGAAAGCCACAATATTTATATTTTAACTCAATAACATTTGGTGACATTATTGTGGCACATCAGTAAAGCCTTAAATAGAAATATATAAGGTGGCAGACATCATTTAATGAATTTTAACTGAACAATAACTGAATGAGTTTGTTTCACTCTTAGACCAGCAGGGGTACCAAATCTATGCAGACTGCTGCAATAAGTACATTAATTAACTGTCTCGTCGATGTTTGTCTAAATTAATATGATACTATTAACAATCATATTATTCCTATCAGCTGTC